CCTCAATGTGTGCATACATGCTGACACATAGGCACACACCGACAATGTGCACATGCACACTCACACATATGCACATACCCACAATGTGTGCATACACTCACACATGCACACACCCACATGTGTGCACGCATCCTGACACATAAGCACATACCCACAATGTGCACACATGCTGACACATAGGCATGCACCCTCAATGTGTGCATGCACACTCACACATATGCACAAACCCTCAATGTGTGCACACATGCTCACACAAAGGCACACCCTCAATGTGTGCACACAGGTTCACACATATGCACACACGCTGACACATATATACACATTCACCCAGCACACACATACTGGAGCATGTGTGGGGAAAGCTGAAGGGAGCCCCATCTCTGAGTACCACCGTAGGGGGGCCTTGGGGTCCCAGGGTCCCAGACCAGAGTGGTCCAACTCCCACCCTGGGCCTGCCCCACCTCCCACACATGGGATGTTGCTGGTGGCCTGAGGCCCCATGCTGGGGCTTGTCCCACAGGTAGGTGACGCCCAACACATCCTCAGGGCCTCAGGTCCCTCTCGGCCCAGCAGACGGCCATGGCCAGGCATACACGTGGACACATGGATATGCACAGCACACACGTGGAAACACACACGGGCACATGTACTTGAAGGCCGCACGCACTCAAGTGCGTCCTGCTGGGACTCACCAGAGGTGTGTCATCACTGCGTGCTCCACCAGGCCCTGCAGAGGGACCTGGGTGTCAGCGTGCTGCTGCAGTGCCCCCCACCCCTTGGGCAGTGACACTGACTCCCATCGGGCAGTGACCAAGACCCTGCCTATGCCCTGGGCCAGGTTCCTGCACAGTGAAGCCTCCGGGTCTCCAGGTGGTCAGGGGTATGTAGTGTGAAGGAGAAAGACTGTCAGGGTGGGGGGTGGGGTGCGTTGCCTGATGCCATCGAGGGCGGTCAGGGTGTCGGGGTGGGGGTGTCACAAACCACCTCACTCCCTCAGTGCTGTGGCTTTTCAACTCTGACCACAAGCCTCACACAGCTGCTTACAGAACCCCAACTGGGTGCTGCCTACAGGTGGGCAGGGAGGGCGCTGCCTGTGGAGGGACACTTCTTATGGGGGGATGCTGTCTGCAGGGGGAAACTATCTGGGGGGGGGTGCTGCCTGGGAAGGGCACTGTCTGGGGAGGGGCGCTGCCTGTGGGGGCATGTCCCCTGATGGGCCTGTTGTCACGTGGGCATGTGTGTGGCCTTGAGAAGGGCCTCCCCTGTCCCTCGGGAGTGAGCCCCATGGACAGCAGGGACCATGTGCTGACCGCACTGTTGGGCTCGGTGGCAGGGCGGTGGAGGGATGGATGGAGGTGGGCAGGAGGCAGGGAAGGAGTACAGGGTGAGAGAAGTAGGGTATGGGGGGTGAGGGAGGAGGGATGAGGGATGGTGGGGAGGGGACAGAGATATGCAGGTAGGAGGGGGAGACAGTGGGAGGGTGCAGAGGCATGGGGGTAGGTGGTGGGAGGAGGAAGGAGAGATGATGGGGGAGGGGAAAGATAATGGGATGGGCAGGGAGGCTGTGGGAGGAGGGAAGATGGGGAAGGGGTAGAGATATGGTGATGGTGGGGGATGGTAGTGGGGTGGGGTGGTAGGTGGCAGGAGGGGATGGCAGGGAGAGGAGGCTGTGATGGCTACCTTGCATGCCCCTAGGGAAGACGGTGATCAGGACCCAGGCCAGCAGCAGCAGCAGCAGGATGCCCACCAGGACACTGGTGACGCTGACGACCAGGACCTGCAGGTGACCTGCGCCCCCTGGCAAGGGGCTGGGGTGTGCGGTGGGTGGTTCAGAGACACGGTCTGCAGGGAGACACAGGGAGGGGGCACCTCAGACTGGAAGCTACAAAGACCTGATGGGAGAGAGGCTGCACCTCCCTGCGCCCTGCAGACTCCAAAGAGCCATCAGTCTGATGGGGGCTGCACAGAGCCTTGCCCCTGGCACCCTTGTGCCCCCCCATCCCCTCGCTCCATGTCCCCAGCCCTCACCCGTCACGGTGAGCTGGGCGCAGGGGCTCTCGGAGATCTGGGTCTGGGGCGGAAGGTGGATGGCGCCGCAGTAGTAGTTGCCGCTGTCGTTGCGGTAGACGGCGCTGATGCGCAGGCGGAAGGTGGGCTTGCCGCCCTCCTGGGTGATGTTGAAGCGGGGGTCCAGGGACGACTTGCCGTTGTCCTTGGGGAAGGCGGCCAGCTTGACCGACTGGTTGTTGGGGCTGCCCCGGTACCAGTTGAGCATGGTCGGGGTGCTGGTGTTGGGGAAGCTGCACAAGAAGGTGACCTCTGCCCCCTCGGGAACGCTGACCTGTGGTGGCTGCAGGGTGAGGGGGCTCCCCAGTGGCCTCCCGGGGCAGACTGTGGAGAGAGGGGCCAGCTGTGAGGCCCCCACCTCCGCTGCCGCCCACACAGCACTTCTGTCAAGGCACCGCTGGCGTCTCCTTGCACGCCGCTGGGACTGGGTGCTCACCCTGCAGCTCTTGGGCTTGCTGAGACCTGACGCCGAGGGGAGGGGGTCGCTTCTGCCCACCATCCTAGCTCTGCTCTGGACCTTCCATTTCTCTCCTGGGGGTGCTCTCAGCCCCTGTGACTCTGGAATTGCACCCTCTCCTGGGCCTCTGCTCGGGATCCACAGCCCAACACCAGGGGGTGGGGTGGGGCTCTGAGGTTGGCTGGGTAGCACTGGCTTCCCCTGATGCCCCCAGCCCTGGACTCAGTTTGGCCTCTCTGTATGTCAGGGTCTTTATCCTCCTATCGGCTAGGTCAGGGCCGGGCCCACTCAGACCCACGGGGTCGCCCAGTAAGACTTGCTTAGGCCCACGGCAGGGCCTACTGAGCTGACAGGCCCACGGTGCTGCCAAACTCCCGTGCACTCCCAGGGCCAGGCTCTGGGAACACAGCTTGTACCATGAGAACACAGGGCAGACCACTGGTTTGTTGGTCCTCAGCCATGGCTGGCCGGCCCCAAATGAAGGCCTGCCAAGACCTGCCCCTGCCATTCATCCTGTGGTCACAGGCTCCAGGCCTCCTCCTGTCCCACAGCTGCCTGCTGACCCTCAGCGCTGACTCACATACATGTGCACACACACTCCCCAGTGCCAGCCACACATGCACACCCTCACACATGCACACACCCCTTCATGCGCACTCACACACCCTTAAGTGTGCATACACACTCTCACACACGCACACACACCCTTCACCTGTGCACACACTCATAACTGGTCAGTGCTGGTGGAGGGAGCATCCCTCCTGAGAGGCCCACGCAGAGCCCATACCCTCAGTCAGGACTCGACTGACTGGACTCGAAGCTCCTGTAGCAGAGCTGGGAGCCCTAGCTTCCCCAGAACCCCACAGCCCATGGCAGCCCCAGGCAGCCCCAGTGACAGGCCCGGGCCTGGGCCAAGGGCCTTCATGCTGGCTGCCTCTGGCTCAGCCCCAATCCTGGGGCCACTCTATTGAGTGTCTGCTTCTCCTACTCCCCCCACCCACGCCGTGACTCAGCAGACCCTGGAGGGACTCTTGTGCTTGTCAGGCCTCACAGATACACAGCCTGGTTGCCAGGGCTACGGTCCCTCTACTTGCAGGGACAGACTGGCCTGGTGGGTCGCTGTGACCTCGCTCCACGTGCCTGCGCAGCATCCTTCCCAGTGTGGCCGGGAACCGACCCAAGGGGGACGGGATGGGGGCAGCCACTGCAGGCCCCATCCCCAAAGCTCCCCTCCACCGTAGATTTTAAAGGCTGAGATGTGGCTTGGCCATGCAGCTCTGTCACCCTGCCTGTCACAGGCCAGCGCACAGGTGACTGCAGGTCTGTCCCTTCTCTGCAGACGGAGATGGAGGTAGGGATTGAGACTTGTCCCCAGCCAGCTGTGGCCCCTTCCCTCCCAGCAGTCTTTCTGGCTGCCCATGGTGGAGGGCCCGGCTGTAGTGACATGTCTCATTCGAGACCCAGCTGGCCTCGAGGGCAGTCAGTGTCTGTGAGCCAGGGCCAGGAGGCCACCTTGCAGGCTGGAGCCCTGGGGGTGCTGGCAGGCCTGCGTGTCAGGCTCTGTGGGGGCCTAGCTTGGGAGGGGTGGCGGTTAGCTGTCTCAGCCCTAATGACAGGTAAATCGAGGGAGGGACGGGGGCGAAGAAGCAGTGGAGCTTCTAGGACAGTCCCAGCTTGGTGGCATCTGAAGTGGCCAGGACTCCTTGGGGCCCTGGTCACACTGTGGGGGCCATACTGGGGACCCCACTGGCGGGATAGGCTGTGCTCAAAGATTACTACATAGGTGACCGCCCCAACAGGAGCAGAGGGCAGGGCAGTGGTCAGCACTTGGTGCTAGCTGAAGGGCCGATGGTTGGAGGGCACCAGCTGCTCTGCAGTGGGCAGTTGGTTCTATGGCGCACACAGCCTCACAAACTGTCCACAGGCGCTCACTGGGGGTCAGAGTTGACAGTGGCCACGGGGGCCAGATGCTGGTTTCTGGCCAGGTACCAGAGGCCCAGGGTGCTCATGAAACCCACCCCACCACCCACCAAGCGGGGCAGACCTTTTCCCAGCAGAAACACGGCCTCCTTGCCCCAAGTTACTGCGCCCTGGCCCAGGAGCTGGGTTCTCAGGGCCCCTGGGGGCGTAGTGGTCATCCATTGGGCTGTGGACCTTTCAAAACCATTAGGTCCTCCATGGGAGAAAGACAGGGCTATCTCTCCCATAAAGAGTTGGTCTCTGAACCCCCCCAGGGACAGTTCTCTTCTGCCCTGCAGGGTTGCCAGGGGTGGTGGCAGGCAGGGGTGCTGGTTTTGGTTTGGGCTCTGTCAGCGTCTGCCTGGGGATCAAATGTAGCTGAACCCCGCTGCCTCCCTGGGGGTGGGTAGGCCGCTAGAATCCAGCGAGAGTTTGAACCCTCCCTCCCTCCTCAGCATGGTGTCCAATCCAGTTCTGGGGAGACCCTGAGGTCCAGGACCCAGCCCCTGATCCCCCAAACCCCAAGACAAACAGCTTCCCCTCTGCCGTTTCCGGGAGCCCTCCTGGACTAGGCACGGAACCCACCAAGGAGGCAAATATTTACACACAGGTACTCTCTCATTCTTGGGTAGCCCCGGTTTTTCCTGAATTTTCTTTTGAGGGGGTGGGGAGCATGAGTGCCTGGCCAAGTGAGGAGCAGGAGACCCCATTGGGATGGCCCAGCCCTCGGTTGCTCAGAGCGTCCCACCTCCTACCCTGCGGCCTGCTGTGGGGGCCGTGCAGGAGCAGACAGCAAGGCAGTGAGCAGCAGTGGGCAGTGGGCCACGGCACCCACATGTGTCAGGAGCGCCTGTGGGTGGACTTGAACTACCATCCTGAGTGCTGTTGCAGGGAGCAAAAGGCTTTACAGGGCATCTGTAGCTGAAAGAAACCCCACAATCTAAACCTTGTAAGCCAAGCCCACACACTCAGATGTGCCACCGACCGGGTGACAGCTTGTGGATGAATTTAAACTATCAATGGCCTGCTCTCTGGGGCCACTGTGAGCCAGACTGAGTGGGGGGCCTGTCTGAATGGGTCAAAGTGGAGACCACAGTGAAGACCCAGGCTCTCGGCTCCACGTCAGTCCCACTCACAGTGAGTCTAGGGGACAGACAGAACCACTCCCTGGGGTTCCCAGGCTGCACACGTCCACAAAAGCAGTCAGCCGCCTCTTTCTCCCTTGGAGTGGCTGGTAGGCTTAAACTGCTGACCTTGTGGCTGATAACTATGGACACAGCGGGACCCTTTATGTGTATAAAGGACACCACAGGTGAGTCCATTCTTGCTGGGTCCATAGGAAACCTTGTTGACAATGTTAGTGCCAGTCTACTCACCCCACCAGCTGTCCCACGGCCCTGACTCCTGCGACCCAGGGTTCCAATGGACTTGAGCATCCAGAGCGTTTCCAGTGACTGATTTTTCTGGTAGGAGGTAGATTTGACCTCCAACCTTTACTATTCGGCGAGAGAAAACCCAGGCCCCAAGGGCCCTGGGGCCAGCGGACATAGCCACCAGATATGTGAAGGGAGTGTGTGGGGGCGACCAGAGCATGGCTTGTGCGTGCATGGACAGCATACATACGGGCTGCCCCACCCTAGCAGACATCAAGGTGCTCCTGTCCCCTAGTTGTTACTTTTCTGGGGGCTCAGCCCTTTTGAAAACACTAGTTGAAAACAATCCAATGAACAAATTAAAAATAAATGAGTCCCTGAAGAAAAAAGCCAGGAGTTGATGGAGAGGAGAGGCGGGGGAGGCGGTGGGCCTAGCAGCTCTAGAGGGAAAGAGAGGGCAGGTGGGTATACCGAGGCATGCCGCACCCCAGCAGCATGCCAGGGGCTGGCTGGGCATGAGCTGGCGGGTGGTGTCCGCAACCATAATTGGGCAGCAGGTTTCCAGCCCTGATGCACCTCTTGGGGGGAGCTCTGGCAAGGAATGGGGTAGGGACCCTCCTGAGTCCCCGCCTGAGTCCCAAATGCCTATTGGTGCTCCGTGCAGGCCAACAGCCCTGTAATCCCTGGAAAGGGGTCCGCTGCCAGGGGCTTGGTCGGGGAGGAGCAGGAAGGGGCCTTGGGGTCCAGGGACTCCGGGGTGTCTGAGCTCTGTGGTCCCCTCCCCCTGCCCTATGGCTGTGAGGCACAGAATCTGCCCCACCCATGCCCAGCCTCGGGGGTCCACGGCTGTGTGGGGCCTCCGACACGGGGGCCTGGGTCTCTCCTCAAAAGAGGGGGCAAGGGAGCCAGGAGTGGGAGCCCCTTCCTACGGCCCCCAAGGGGTGGTCTGACCAGGGTCCTGGGGCCACCTTCTGAGCTTGACGCCAGCCCTATCCCTGTGCCCACCACCCCGGGACCTGACCCCTTACCTTGGAGGCGTCCAGGCCGCCAGGCCAGCTGCAGCACGGCCCAGACGAACGGCCAAGGTGCCCGCGGGGCCTGCATTCCCACGCGGCCCACCCAGCCCAGCTCGGTCGTCCCGCCAGCGCTCAGAGCACCTGGGCCCTTGACGCTCCCTACCAGAAAGGAAACCCGCCGCTGGTAGGGGTGCAGGGAGGGCACAGCGAGACTCCGCCCCCTCTTCCTCCGCCCCCACGTGGTAGGGGTTGGCGGGCGGGCAGAGAGGCAGGGAGCGGAGGTGGGAAAGCGTTAGCGGAGGGGGCTCACAAAGTTCGTGGAATATGGAATTTTCCACACATGTGGACAGTTTGCGTGTATGTATACATAGAGAAAGAACCTTGGCGGGGGGTGGGGGGGGGCGGAGCACCAACTGCATTGGGATAAGGACAGATGGCCGTCTGCTTCTGGAAAGGTCCCCAACCCCGAC